ATGATTGTATGATTATTATGAATTTCATACATATTTATTATGATATTATCTGTGTTTCTTGTATTTATCTGAACTCTATAATATTTGATCTGTGAGTTGTGAAAAGAGACTTGAATGAGGTAAGTGAAACGTTTGCTATGTAGATACGTATGCAAATGTATTTCGCAAAAAACACTTCATCAGTCCAGCATCAAACAGTCATTGAGAATCAAAAGAATATTCAGGAGAATTTTTTCTTAGAATATAACTTTTGCTGGTATAGGAATAGCAATTCAGATTCATTCATTTACAAAAACGTTAAGAATCGTCTAGATACCTAACGACATATATATATATATATATATATATATATATATATATATATATATATATATATATATATATATACAGAGAGAGAGAATGAATGAGAGAGAGAGAGTGGGGAACAGGCAGATCTATTAACTGGGTTATGTAGCTAACGAGCTAGATAAATAGATATGTAGATATGAACAAACTGGAGATAGATAGATAGATAGATAGATAGATAGATAGATAGATAGATAGATAGAGAGAGAGAGAGAGAGAGAGAAACAGACAGACAAAGAGATAGATCTATAAACTGGGTTATGTAGCTAATAAGATAGATAGATAGATAGATAGATAGATAGATAGATAGATAGATAGATAGATAGATAGATAGAAAGATAGATTAACATATAGCCTCTGTATATATAGATAGATAGAGAGGGAGAGAGATAGAGATGGCAGACAGACAGATAGATATGAACAGAATGAGAAAGATAGACGGGAATAGACTGAACATAGATAGATAGATAGATAGATAGATAGATAGATAGATAGATAGATAGATAGATAGATAGAAACAAACAAACAGACAACTTTATCAAAACGCGGCCATATTACACTTCGGCGTAAAATGATAAGCATATTGGATGAGACTTTGACACACCTTCATGTCGCCTCATTGCTCCCTTATATGATGGACTAAGATGTCAAGTATTGAACATTCCTTAACTCCCAGAATTACTTTTCTCGGCTGTTCTCTTTCTCTGCTCATTTTCAGTCTCCCCTAATTCTGTTTATCTATATATATATATATATATATATATATATATATATATATATATATATATATACCATGACGATCCACGTAAGTGAAACCTAGGTAGGTTTTCCTGGCTCTTTAGCTTCATAGATAGATTTCCTCTACTTAGTGTATTGAGCACTTTACTTAGTTACTTTTGCTTTACTCGTTTTCGAGGTTTGTTTCTTTGGACTCTAAACTTGGATTCTAGTCGATTGTTTTCACCTCAGTTAAATGTTTTTAGTTCTTTCTTTTCTTTATTCTTTATTTTTCCTTTGTTAATGGTTCGTTCATTTACAAACCAAAACACTTAAGGTCTTTTTCAGACGAGTATAATTACTAATATATATATATATATATATATATATATATATATATATATATATATATATATATATATAGAAAGAAGAGAGAAAGAAAGAGAGAGATAGCATAATGCATGAAAGTGAAAGAATTAAGAGTTATGTAATTATAAAAAGAACGATTTAGCCAGTGAGATATACGGATAGATATAAAGATAGCTTCCGTTTGCTTTCTCTCTCTCTGTCTCTCTCTGTCTCTGTCTCTCCACACATATATATGATGGATTCTGCCGTCGATTACGACGTATGAGGTTTCAATAACAACAAACTAAATATCTGCATGCCTATGACGGACATGACTTTTGAGACCGACTCGAGAATTGCACAAAAGACCACAAACAGGAAAACTGTCAGATGTCTTATTTTGCTTTCTCGTTTCATGTAGTCGACTGATGCTTCTCAGTG